TTCTGCCTAAATACATGGATTTTTGACCACTCACATCTCAAAGTAATTGTCAAGTCACTTAAAGCTAAAAGCCAATATGCATGACTTGGATTTATCTTCAGTTTTCTAAATGAGTGTAAAACACAATAGTGCAGTCATATTTGGCATTAACTCTTAGTAGCCACAAAAATGTGGGTCAATATTGAATTTTCCAAAGTTGTCTAAATAAGACTGGGTTTGTCAAAACTTGCCAGTTGCTTTCAAGTGAACACAGCATGTTGGCGGAAATGAAATGTAATGTCTAAAAGACAGAAAATAGGTCAGCACTGTGCAAAAGTAAACTTGTCAGTGAGATCAATATGAACCTACAAGTTAATGGGGATATTAGAATCTTCTTACAATAAGAGATGTGCAGGGTAGAGCCAGAACACAATTATAGCATTTATTCACTTGTGAGGAGCAGAGGATGTATTTAAATATTATTTTTTGTATCCTTAATGAAAGGCACTGCTTTTTAATACGGAATATTTATATGTAAGCACAGTCTTAATTGATAGAATATCACAGTAAATTAAATTTTGGTTTATTTGCTCAGATTTTAGCAACACGAAAAATAAGAAAAAAAGGGGAGCAATGGTCAAGCATCATAAAATTTCAGAAATATGATAAAGTCCTTCATTAGTCTTCTTGATGTTAAGTGTCTTGGAGAATTTGACATTGTGAATGAAATCCGTCAAAATTTTTGAAGGAAAAAAAAACAATAACAGAAAGAGCTTTCTTGGGGCTTCTCATTGCATTTATTTAAATTTTTTAAAAAATGTACATCACTTTTTGAATACATAAAATGCCAGTGCTTTGCAACAGTTCTGTTACTGCATCTCTCAACTAAAAAAAGGAAGGAAAAAAAAAAAAAACCCAGCAAAAATACATTCAAAAAGCCAGGCTGTTCTGCTTATGCACGGGCAGCGGCTTTGGAAAGCTACAGCCTACACTGTCTGTTCAGAGGCATTGCCGAACATCAGTTAGCTATCAATGAAAAGTTGCACATAAAGCATTAAAGGATACAAAGAACAACTTGGTGGGGAGCAGGAGAAGAATGGGAAATTAAGAAAAATGCCACATATGCCGGAGAGGGGCTGGACTCAGGCGGAAGCAAGCATGAAGACTGATGTTTCGGGAGACTAGATTTATGGGAAAAGATGGGAGAAAATAAAGTAACGAGTTTGACAAGGTATAGGGGTGTGTGTGTGTGTGTGTGTGTCCACTTCCAATTTTCTACTTTACTTTCCAAGAGAACTGTGACAAAACTGAGGTAGAAATGAATGTGGGAGCACTATAGCCCAGAAGATTTCAAAATTAGAAGCAAAATTGCACTGAGAAGAGAGGAGTCAAAAAGGAGAGGGGATGTAGATGTTCTTTGTGGAAATATATATATATATATATATATATATATATATATATATATATATAAAGTTGGTTGGTTGATTTTTGTATTTATTTCTTTGTTTTTGCTTGCTATCTTCTGCATTTTATCAAACAGCACGGCAAGCCTATAAGCTAGATTAGTGAGTAGAATGACACCATTCCCAGCAGTTTTAAGAGAGAACTTGCAAACCACCACCACCACCACCACCACCACCACCACCACCACCACCACCCCCCCGCCTATGCAGTAAAAGGCAGTCCTAGTTTTTAGGTACTGTGACTTTCAGGGTCCTAAACAGGTCTCGTGGCTGAGTGTTCTAGACACTAACATAAACCGAATAAGTAGCTTTCCATTAACCAGTGTACCTTTTAAGAACATTTTCACTTCATTATCAAGGAGCAATGTACGAAGAACTCTTGCAGTTTTTGACATAAAGAATTATTCTGCTCTGGTTTATTCCCCATAATCAGTAAAAGAATCTCTTTAAAAAAATCCTTCCATTTCTACTTTAAGTTGTAAATATTCAGTTGTATCACACGTCAGTATTTTTCTGGATACATTCAAAGTAATTTTCCTTGCTAGCTTCCAATTGTTGAGGTAAACATACATTTTAATATAAAGTAACATCGAAGCCTATCCCATTACTCTCAGCAGTACATAGTGCTTTCAACACATTCCTTTGAGGTACTGTACAAATCACAATCGCTTTCCTGAGTTTTTGCAGACAAGAACATTAAAAGAAATGAACTGCAGAAATTAAGGTCCAGATTACCGTTACCCTGTTTTACCTGTTCTTAGCTTAATACCGCAGAACAGACAGGATTGAGGAATACTGTTGCTCTTAAAATGGCAAAAATCTGGTTTTCTGTCGTAACACAACCGTTCATCTCTTTAGTCCAATAATGTTTGAAGTTAAAGCTCTTTATATTAGCACATGCCACCAATGTAATTGTGAGGCAAACAAAAAATAAAGCACCACTCCAGGCACTTGACAGCAACTAAATCTCGAGAACAGCAGAATGGAATCAACACACAAGGTTCACGTCCTTCTGAAATCAACACACTTGCACCTTGCTCCTTGGTGAGTGTCGTCTGGCTTGAACTGAACTGAGCATCAACAGATGCTTTCTGTCATCTGGGGCTTTCAAATCAGAAGCTCTCATCTGATGCGTTTTTCCACCAAATCTACCCTGACTCTAAAGATGCAACTCAATCGTCATCTTCCCCAGTACCCTTTGCGATTTAAACACTACTGGAAAGGGGCTCTATACCCTATGTAGCAGGTTTTATGTGTGTGTGCCAACATTCATTACGTGTTTTTTTTTTTTTTAAAGAAGTTATCACTGACTGCAACCAAACATTTTGTTCCATTCAACATACATATCAAGCTCTTTTTGAGATATGCTAGGCTGAATCTTGCAGAAAGCATTTTCAAAGTCTTGATATGTAACGGGCCTCAACTGGCTGGGCATGATGGCTGAAAGGTCTGTGGCTGGCATGGCGTGGAGGGGGCCCACCGCTGCTTCCTGACACAAATGAGCCACGTCTAGTCCAGAAAAGCCTTCTGTGCGCTGGACGAGCAGTGCAAACTCCTTGTCATTGAGACAGTAATTGTGCTGTGAGAGCAGTTGTACTATTATCTGGTGCCTCGCTGTGCTGTCAGGAAGTGGGATTAAAAGTCGTTTCATGAAGTACCTCCGAAGAGATTCATCTATTTCTTCTGGTTTACTGGTGGCACAAATTACTACGATTTGGTCCTCAGCTGAAGTTAGTACAGTGTCCAGCTGCATCAGAAATTCCGTTCTCATCCGATTGACTGGACTGTGTTCCTCACTCACTTGGGAGGAGAGAAGCATGTCAATGTCACTGACAAAAATCACCGAGGGCTGGCGACACCTGGCCACGAGAAAAGAGGCGTGGATAATTTTTTCTGCTTCTCCTAACCACTTGGCAACGAGTCCAGAACCAGCGATTTTGAAAAACGTGGCCCCCAGCTGACTAGCTATGCATCTGCCCAATAATGTTTTGCCTGTTCCCCGAGGTCCAAATAAAAGGATGCTCCGAGGTAAGGCCGTCAGTCCACTGAACGCGTCTGACCTCAACACGGGCCATAAAACCTCCTCTTTAATGACAGCCTTTACCAGGTCAAGGCCTGCAATGTCATTCCAGTCCACTGGTGGTCCTTGGGCGATAATCTCATTGGTTACCAGGTCAATGAGGTGCGTGTCAGTATTCTTCAGTTGCTCGTCCACAGAGTGGTTGGATGAGGTAGCTGCACGGAGTCCAGGGCCTTGCATTGGGTGAGAGAGGAGCTGCCTGTGCTCGTCCCCGTGCTCACTCATTACCGGCGACGTGTACTTCCCAAAGGATTCGCTGGATCTCGATCCCAATGAATTTTTAGCAGTACTATAGGAAGGAGGGGTCAGAGCCCTACTGGACTGGCTGCTGAATTTCCTTTGCTGTTCAGAGGACATTAGCTGCTTCGTTGGCTTAAATGCTAAGGATGATGTTTCAGCACTTCTGTCAAAGCCATTCCCCCGATTCGAGTTTGAAATGCTGTTGTCGGGCATTCTGTACATGGGGCTCTGTGTAGATCTCTGTTGGCCGTAGCTGTAATTTCCGTAACTGGAGTCCATATCTCCTTGCCCTGCCATGTAGAAAGCCTTCCTTTTGAGAGAACTCGCTGAACTGTTGGTCAGAGCTGAGGGTGCGATAGGTGTTAAACCATGACCCTGATAAGTGTAGCCAGGAACAGTGGTGGGGGGCAGAGGGGTCGGGGCAGGAATTCCTGAAGGCAGGTAGGCCGAAGGAGGCGGCGGCGCCCCCCCGGGGCTGTACCCAGATCCCACGGCAGTCTGAGGAGGGTAGCTGGCAGAGGGGTAGCTGTAACTGGAGAGGTTAGAAGTCCCATTGTAGCCTGGGACCAGGGCGGGCGGTGGGGGAGGTGGTGGAGGCGGCTGCAGGAGCCCGGAGCTATGCAAAGGAGAGGGGTGAGGGGAGGGAAGGGCAGGTGCTGGCTGGCTACTGTAAGTCGAATGCAAATACGAGCCGTTGTATCCTGGGGCGTATTCCTGAGACGGGAGCCCTGCATGAAGACTGGGTACGGTGTGGCTTCCGCAGGTACTACTGGAGTAACTAGGTTCTGTCAGGTTGCTGGCCACCCCAGGAGAGCTCCCTATGCTCGCAGAGACATCTGCTGGAGGGAGGGCCGAACTGACCCCAGCCTTGCTGGCCGTGATAACATCCGGGACGCAGTTCATGGGATAGACCGCTTCGGAATTCAGGGAAGGCTGCCAGGGCTCGCTTTCATTCTTCCGCCCGTTCACCAGTCCCGAAGGCGCGTCCGAGTAGTTGCTGAGTACAGGGCGGTCCACGGGGCCTTCTAAAATGCCAGAATACTTCTCTGCGTATTTTTTTAGTAGGTTGGATGCAGTCAGAGCAGATATGTCATCATTTGCCCAGGCATACTGATAGGTGCGCTGCAGATGACCTCTGTAGGCTTCAACTTTGTGGGCAGGAGACCGAGTGGTTGAGGTGATGTCAAAGTGCTGTTCTGGCCACTGGGCATGCTCCGGCGTCCACTGCATCTTCAAGCCTGGGGATGGGGGGGGGGCGGAGGGGGAGAAACGTTAATTGACGGAGATACTCATCAGAAGTGTTAAAGCTTTCCCCCAACTTCTTTTGTTACCTCTTCCTCTCTAACGACATTGACATTACAAAGAATTCTCACAGTTCATCCTATGTCTTATGATCCATACCATATGTACACTTTAAAATGGACTGACGTTCAGGCCTGTGTAAAAAGTAAACCGAATTTAAACAAGAACTCTGTAGAAGACCTAATTTTTTTTTAAAGCAATAAGTAAATCTGCTACCGTGAAGCCTACTTGCTATCCACACACAGGAACACATATATATGTCCACACACATTCCTGTCAAATTAGAAATCAATCACAGGTTCTTACATGTGCATGTCTTTTAAATATCTAGCACGTGAGACTATTAACATGTGCAATAGCTAGCTCTTCTGTCTCTTTACATCAGAGTTTCTGTTTTATATTTTAACCAATATAAAAATGAGACACAGCTGACAGATCACATCTAGGACCCCTCTCTTATTTGGTACTGAACACCTAGTTAGCACAGTATAATGCTCCCTGCGCAGAACAATATGACACAGACATAGCAGGTCATTCCATAATCCAACTCTCATCTAAAGTGCTCCACGACAGTTTCAAATCTGCTTCGTGGAGTGCAGCAAAGCAATCTCCCAGGCAGCGCTCCATCGCTTTCATCGCACAAAGCCTACAACTCGGTATGAATTACAACTGGCTCCTTTCTGCCTCTCAGTTCTGTTGTTGAGTCTCTGAAAAAAAAAAACAAAAAAACAAAAAAAACAAGCATCTGTTGTCTGTCGGTCTTCCTGCTGGCTTCTCCCTCCTTCTCCTACAATCCTTCCCTCCACCTTACACCTTCCCAGTGCTAAGAGGGAAGAATACATATGCACATATGTATATGTATGTCTATATATCCACGCACATACACCTATTTATGTATATACCTATTATGTGTGTTTGGGGGGTGGGAGGAAAGGAGGGAGGGAGGAAACAGGTGAAAGGTACCTGTTTCTTATAAGAACAGAACAGGAAGAGAATCTGGATTCTCTTTACATTTCTGTGGGAAGCAGTGTGTGGCATAAACTCAAAGCGTGCAGCTAGATAATGAGATGCTATGGGTAATTCTGTCACCTGCTAGATTACCAACCGAAGCAAGGTGACTTAAGTAGCAAACTCTAAAGCAAGAGCATTTTCGCCGAATCAGAGAATCATTTGAATGTTACAGTTTAAGGAGACCTCAGAAATGACCTTATTTCACAGATTAGGGAACCAGCACCCAAAGGGATTTCTAACATACCCTCGAGGAGTCACATACACTTAGTTACAGTAGAGCACCAGAACCCCGTTTTGTCTCCCAGTGCTGGCTCACCCCATTCCAATCTCTGCTTGGTCCAAACACTTGCTATTCTGGCACAGCCACATTACGCAGGCCTCCTTAATCACCTCTGTATTACCCAAAGTGGATTCTGTCAACTGTCTTATGCCCTCTGGCAGAGACTCCTGGATAAGGAGGACGCCTGGTCTACATGGAGCATCTGTGGCACCGGCTCCCTTCTGAATTAACTGCAGTCTATGTTGACAGCTCCTACCCACTTCTGCCTTCCTTCTCCAACCCCTTCAGCTCCTCATTCCCGGACTCTGGCTTCTGACATGGCCAGCTTGGACTTACTGAGCTACACTGAACATAGCACAGAGTTTGGTAACAGAATGGCATGTTGATTCCCTTCTGACTCCCTCTTCCTTGTTTGCAAAACCACTGCACCAGACACTGGAAGTTAATTAGCAGGATGATGCTGTGCTAATTGTGTTAATTTACAAGGTTTTAGTCAAAGAGAATCATGCCAGGGCTGGCATTGCTGTCATGCTTCCGACTTAATGATTAAGAAATACTGAAAACAAGGTGGGAAGGATTGCAGTAATTACACAATAAATGAATAAAGCAACAGGATTCATTTGCAAATATATTTTACTGCAGTTGTACTCATTTGCATTTGGATTTTTAAAAAGGACCCATGTAGATATTCATTTGCAAATCACCATCTCAGTTAAATTAAGTCTGAATGCTGCACAGCATAACTTAATCAAGCTCTCTCTCTCTCTCTTTTTTTTTTTAAATAAAAATATGAAAGACCTTCTACGTCTCCTGGACATGCAACAGATTCTTTCTTCACTTTCCTTCTCCTTACTCCTCCCAAATCTTCATGTGTTTCTCTTTTAAAACTCTATTTTAAAAAATATCATCCCTGGGGAAAAAATTGTGAAATCCTGCTGAAGTACAGCTCACATCGTTTCGGTCGAAGAAACTCTGGGGGTGAGTTCTAGGAGGAACTGAAGTGATGTCCTTAATTGTTTCTGCTTTCTCAATCATTCCTTTTCAACGGGCGGGGGGCAAGAAAACACATCGCAGAATGGGTGAAATGACCGAAACCACACTTAAAGGGGAAAAGATGCAATTTTAATGAAGCAGCATTTCAGGAATCATACTTTCATTAAATTCAACTGGAAATTATTAAGAGCAAATCACCAGGAACCAATCGCAAGTAATCAGTATCTAAATTCTTCTAGTGTCATGGGATTTACTTCAAGCCTTATAAAAAAGCAAAGAATATTAATGTGACTGTAATGTAGAACTGTCTAAAAGACCTACAAATTCATTAGTCCTGTAAATTATTTCCAGGGAATTTCTATTAGGCTTTTTTTTCTTGAAGAGATTATCAAATACAGAGTTGAGAAAAGAAGAAGACACATGTGCCACGAGTGGAAATTTGATTAGACTGATTCAGAAGAAACGTGAATAAATGTCTTGAGAGGAGGCCTCCGAAAATATTTTGGGAGTCACAGGCAATGGAATTTACCACAGACACAACATCACACACACACACACACACACACACACACGCACACGCACACGCACACGCATGCGCGTTATCAGGCATGGGCTCCTTTCAGTTCAGCCATTGTTGGCGTTAGTCAACATACATGATAAAAGCCCATTAAAAACTGCTCTAGATTTAGAATAACTATTTAAAAAACAATAGTGGGCATCTTTCCACCTTATTGGCTTAAAATTTTTTTCTTGCAAATGAATCATTTATTAAAAATGTGCAAAAAGGAATTTTAGTAGGTTATAATCACTGTAAAAGATAGGACTATCAAGTTTAAATAAAATAAAATAGGTTGGTCATTTTCACTGGGGCCTTTTAGTTGGTCTGCAGACTTTAACTCTAGCAAAACTAATACATTTCCTAAGATTTCGGTTTTATCCGAAATTTAAAAAAAGATCCTATCCATTATTTATTTGGGACAATTACTGGATATACCATTGCCTTTTGATTCTTATGCTATTTTTGTATGTGCTTACCAAGATAACTGAAAGTTTATTCATTGAAGCATACTGTAGGACAATAACCTTAGCAGAGCTGCAGAAGGCAAGAGTGAGCTCATTTGATTAAATAACCTTAAGGGATCTGAGTCATTCACGCCTCTTGGAACATGAGTACTTACCCCATGTTTTAAAATCATTCATATTACCTGAAAGTGTCAGTTAAGAGTTAACCATGAGCTAGTTCCTAGTAGGAGCCGAAGAAGCCAGCGTTCAGCAGACCGTCCTGGCCTTCGGAGCACAAAGAGCTTTTTCATCAGTTTCTTGAATTTTAATACTAATTGGAAGGAGCGCCAGACCTATTGGTGTTGCTGTTATTATTGTTCTGTTTATTGGTGGTGATAGTTCTGATGGGAAATAGAAGAAAAATGTAGAGCCAAATGTTCTTTGAACAAAAAAGCATGCTCCATTTGATCGCATTGCCATTTTCTGTGAGTAGGAAACAGCACATGCATGCCACTTAATGTGACACCCAAATAATAAGATGGGTTTTAAAAATAGCTTTCAGAGGTTTTCTCTCTGGAAGGAACACGAAGAGAAAAACCCCAGAAATAATCCGATTTCACCATTATTAGAAACATGACTTCAGAAGAACTTCCACTGCTGTTTAGAAACAGGTACCATAAAAATTCAGGAAACAGAGGAAAGTAAGAAAAAATAGTTCTTCGACATAATTGATGAGTTGTTCCAAAACATCAACTTTTATTTTTGAAAGGATCAGAAAATTCTTAACACGGCTGGCAAATTTCACAAAGCAACGTGATTGTTTTTAAAATATGTAATTTAAAGAAAATTGGTTTTAAAATACTTTAACATAAGTATTACACAAGAATGATAGATAGTACTGTAAAAAGCTCGAGCGTTTTGTTACTTTATTATTACAAGAGGAATTTATGTATATATCAATGAGCAAGTCTGTATCTCCCATAACACTGGACAGTCTGGATAACATCTCCCATTGTTATTCTTCCTGACTACTTTATAATTTAGGCGTAATTACTCAACAGTGCTGCCTCACTGCTTTACTTGCTCCATTTTGTTCTTGAAGTCTGTTGCGACAACACAAGTGGGACACCCTTCAAAGTTCTGTCATAGCTTCAACATGATAAGGAAACTGTTACGCAAAAAAAAAAAAAAAAAAAAAAAGAAGGATGTAAAAACAACTTTCAGAATGGGCAGAAATCGGAAATAAAAGATGAAGCTCCTGGAATCTATTTTTAGCACACATTCCTGGAAATATTCATCTAAGGCCCATACTACCCTACCTGTACTGAACACACATATGCTGTTAATAGTTCATCAGGTCTGGAAGAGCCCTTCTTTACAAGATTCCCAAAGGGTAATTCTGGCCACTCGGGACTCTGCCTTCATCTGTAGGTTTGCTCGGAAGTCCTAAGGGCAGGGACCTGGGGCAAGCACCTGCGGGCAGGGAGGGCTGGCTTGCTCTAGGATTGCAGCACATGTGGAACCGGGCCTGCGTGGCTTCGCTACAGACCTGTTGCAGTCCTTTGGGCTATTGTACGTCTGAACTTTCCATTATCATTTATTTAAATATACTTAAAAATTAACACCATATTTATCCATGTTCTCTTTAGA